ATTCTCTTTTAGGTTTTAGAAACAGACTGTGAGAGAGTGTTCCAGGGAGAAGTAAAAACACGAGACAAGACAAGGACATAAGAAGCTAAGCAGGGAAGATAAGGGAGAGGAGAGGAGAAAAGTGTGACCGCCTTCGCCGAGAGCCAAACGAGCAACTCAACTGTTGTTCAACAACTGTTCTCAATTCAGGCAAAACAAAGCTAGTGTTGTTTTCTAAATCAAGGAAATGGACCCAAACAATTCCATCAGTAACCACTCTTCAGGGTAATATAATAGAGTTTGTTCACACGTATAAATATCTGGGTTTTTCTTTTAATACAAAGAAGCGGCTTGTTGCTGCAACATTTTTACCTGTGCTGGATTATGGGGATATTCTATATATGAATGCTTCTGCTGCTCAATTTCTTCGAATGGTTGATCTGATGTTCATCACTAACCGTACATTTCAGACTCACCACTGTGAGTTCTATTCTCAGGTAGGATGGTCTGCTTTGGCAAGTCGGAGGAACTCTCACTTATGCAGTTTTATTTATATGGCAATACTGGGATTGCTGCCTTCTTATATATGTTCCCAGCTTGCAATGAAGCATACTGGTCGCTGTCCTCTTCATGCACAAGGTTATTTGTTGCTTTCTGTTCCATTTGCCCGAACTGAATTTAGAACCCTGTGCTTGGAACAACCTGCAGAACGACTGGAAAATGACTGAATTCTTTTCATTAAGTGCTTTTAAATGTAAACTAAGAATCCATGAAACTGTTTCCATTAGACTGATTGTCATTTTAACAGAATTTGGAATTTTTGTTTAATTTTATTTTTATTTTTTTAATTTTTATTTATTTTTGCATGTGTGTTGTTGCTGCCTGTGTTTAATTGAGTAACTTTTGTAACTGTGAGACTCTTCCTGCTGTCTGTCTTGGCCAGGTCGTCCTTGAATAAGAGGTTTTTAATCTCAATGGATCTTCCTGTTTAAATTTGTGGATGACTGAATGTAGTGTAAAGCACTTTGGGGTGCATAGGGGCTAAGTAAAGCACTATACAAATACAGGCCATTTACCATTTAAATAAAGGTTTTTAAAAAAAGAAAGAAAGAAAAAACAAACAAACACACCACTCGGGTTTTGATCCGAGAGGCTGCTCTACCCAATCACGCCCCTCCAGGTCTCATTGTCGTTGCCCACATGACCATTGAAGTCTCCCAGTAGGACAACAGAGTCCCCAGGTGGAGCACCTTACCCAAGGACTCCAAGAAGGCTGGGTACTCATCATTCAGCGCATATGTGCAGATGACAGTCAGGACCCATTCCCCGACCCGAAGGCGCGGGGAACAAACCCTCTAGTCCACGGGAAAAAAACCCCAACATATAGGCAGCAAGCCGAGGGGATAGAATACCCACCTCAGCCCGCTACCTCCCACCAAGGGCATCTCCAGCTGGAGACAGAGTCCATCCATTCTCCAGGAGACTGGTTCCAGAGCCCAAGCTGTGTGTTGAGGCCAGTTATATCTATTCGGTGCCTCTCAACCTTACACACTAACTCAGGCTCCTTCTCACCAGAGAGGAACATTCCATGTCCCAATTTCTTGTCTTGGTAGCAGGGGATTAGTCCGCTAGGGCCTTGTTCCTGGCTGCTGCCCGACACACTGCACCAGACCCCTACGGTGCCTCTGCAATAAAATATTTTCTTCATTTAGTTTCCTGTGTGAGGGGTTATGTATGTTACTCCTCCCTGTTCCCTAGCAGAGGGGGTCACAACATAAGCGGGGGCTCGTCCGGGGCTCCTTTTCCCCCATCAGGAGAATTCCATTTGTGAAAAAGAGAGAACCTGTGTTTTGCTACCTTTATTTCCCCTCTGCCCTCCTCCCTGGTTGAGCACCATGTTGGCTGCATTTTGTTTGGATTGGTTCTTAGCTGCTCCATCTGTTGAGCTCCTTGATAGCTGCCACAAGTGTGAATTGCTGCGGATTGCAGGTCACCTTAAGCTTCGTGTCCTTAAAACACTGTAAGAGTAAGCTGAAATAACTAGTAGCAGACAAGTTGGTGGAGGCTGGTTTGATCCAAGCCTCTTACCTGCCTGAAGGCTCTGGTGAGCTAAGACGAACTTCCTTGTTTGAGGGGGACCATAAAGATGGTTCTAGTATGGATGGTGTGGGAGATGAGCAGGCGAAGACACCACGCACGCTCCCTGGCTATGATCACCTCTCCTCTGGAAGTTCAGAAGCATGGATTGGGGGCCCGGTTAAAGGTGCGACTGGTACGGCTCCATTTGGAAGCTGAGGAGAAGGCCCAGGTCAGGCGAGCTCAGCTAGAGCTCGAGATCCATTGCTTGGAGACAGAAGCAGATAAAGGAATGAGGCTGCGTAAGCTGGAGTCTCAGCCACAAGCCTCATCTGTCTCTGCTGTTCTTCCAGGTTCTACCCCGACTTTGCAGTGGCCGAGTGATATATGGCCCCTTTTATTGCAGTGTAAACTGACTGGCAAAGCCCAGAAGGTGGTGGCCACACTTCCTTTACAGGACAGTTTGAATTATTCCAGTGTAAAATCGGCTGTTTTTCAGGCCTATGAATTGGTCCCTGAAGCATACAGGCAGAAATTTCGGCAACAGGAAACTTCCCTCCCAAACATATGGGGAGTTTACCAGGGAAAAAGGGATCCTTTTTGACA